TGTAAAGAAGTTTAATTGAATTTTAATAAAGATAGAGGCATGGCCTCACCTTTGAAGATTAAAAAAAAAAAAAAAAACAAAGTTAAATGCAAATTAAATGCAAATGCAAAATTATATACAATGTCAAATTATTCAGATGAAGATTCAGATTCTTCTTCATCAAAGATTTCTCTATATACAATGTTTTTGGTATATGCTTCTTCTTTGTCAGTATGCTTCTCATCGTGATATTTCCAAACATTAACTAAGATAGTTATATTCTCTTTTAATTGAACTTTTGACAAAGCAACATATAATTGCCTATGTGCAAAAACTGGCTTAGACAAATTAATCCCATTATAGGAATTGTTTGGCCTTATGCTTTGTTAATTGTCATTGCAAAAGATAATCGAATAGAAAACTGTCTTCTTACTAATTGAAATAGAAGGTCAGTATCTGATGGTGATAATCTTACTCGAGGTATAAATATTCTTTTGATTTTGTTGACTTCTGTTAATATTTGAGCATCTATAAGATGTGGGTGAAATCCTTTAATAAGTAATCTTGTATCATTATATAATCTTTCAGCTAGATTAAGATTACGTAAAAGAATAACTAGTACATTTCTTTTTAATTTTAGATGATGTAGTGGTATTCTACTTGGTGTTAATATATTTAAAAATTCAAGAGGATAAAGGCTTTCATCAACTTCTTCTTGATTTTCAACAGAATCAGCAGAATAATAGTGAAATACATCTTTTTCATCTCCAGGAATAGTATTAATAAGAATATGCTCATTAATAGCATCAATATTATCATTTCTTGTTGATAAGATTGCTCTTTGTTTGATATAATCAGAATCATAATAATTTGTTTCAATATTTTCAAAAACATGAAGTATTAGATCCTCTAGATTTTTATTTTTAACAACTATTTCATCAGACAATCTTATAAAATCTTTACTAAGGTCAAGATCTACAGAAACTTTTCCTTCACTAATTTGTAATAAGAAGTTAACAAAATTTTTTTGTTCTTCATTATCTTGTTGAACTCTCATATTAATTATTAATTTTAATGTTTGAAAATACTTCCAAAGATAAAAAGATTTCAAACATGCCTCAACAATTTTGATTTGGTTATCTCGAACTACTACAGGTAATATTTGCCTAAAATCACCACCCAGAACTATAACTTTGCCTCCAAAAAGTTCAGTACTATCCATTAAATCTTTAAATGATCTGTCAACAGCTTTAAATACAAATTTATTCATCATTGGTGCTTCATCCCATAAAATTACTTTAGCCTTTCTGATTAAATTTGCTAATTCAGATTGTTTAATATTTAAAGTAGTGGTTTTAGTTAACTTTAATAGAATTTTAAATCTTGAATAGGCAGTTCTTCCACCATTCATTAACAATGTAGCAATTCCTGATGAAGTTATAGCAATTGCAATTCTATTTAAACCACCTTTACTTGATGATCTTACATAAGCCAAGATCATATTATATAAATATGTTTTTCTAGTCCCTTCAGGTCTATCAACAAAAAATAATTTTTGTTCAATTTCACCATTAATTGCTTTAATAATTGTTTTAAATATTTCTTTTTGAACACTATTTAAATTATTAAGATCATTTAATGTTTTAGTAATTTAATCTTAGTTATAATTTTGTTCATCAGAAATTAATGTGTGTTCTTGACTTTCTTTAAAATTTAAAGTTGGAAGTTCTGAAAAATCAGAAAGGTCTAATCCATTTTGAATTAAATAATTTTTTATAAACACCAATGTTTTTTGAATAGCTAATTCTCTACTCATTTTTTTATTAATATAATCTTTAATTAGAGAATTAACATATTTTTCCCAAAGATCTTTTAAATTTGCTAGTTGACAATAAACTATTATAGAGGCAAATAATTGTCTTAGTTCATAGGGTATTTTATATGCAATTGCTTCTGTAAGGCAAGTATCACATTCATTATCATCATCTACCAATCCAAGTTGGACTGCTGCTTCTTTATAACTATTATATTTTGTAGCTTTAATAGTTATAGTATTATTAAATCCTGTACAACCTTCTACACGATTTAATATAGCTCTTAAGTAAAATCTCTCTTCATTTCTTGGATTTACAAAATGCATTTGAGAAATTACTTTTGCACCACTTCTCTTTTTTTTTATCCAATTATTTCCTTTCCAAATATAATATTTTGGAACATCTATATATTTTAATTTTTGAAAAAAAGGATCTTCAGAATTATCTTTACAAAGTTCAAAATATCTTGTTAACTTTGTATGTAGAGATTAGGCCCGTATAAAATTTTTTCTCCGGATAACCGACCCATATTTCAAACTCAAAACTGAGTAACAACCTAGTTTTAACTCACCTGACCTGAGTAACTAGTTAACCTGGCTAACCCGACAAAAAAACACAAAAAATTGTACTTCATGTGATTATAACGATAAAAATTTGTCATTTTAATTAACTTACACTAGCTTTTTTAGATCTAACTTAATCTTACGTACATACAATACTTTCATGAAAAACTTTTTATACAATATTTATTTATTCATAATTTATAATTATATTCTAAAATACATGCAGTACCGTAACGTGTCAAAAGATCCAAGTCTGTTATATTCCACTGATTTTAAAATCTATTTAGACCCAGAAGTTTATTTTATTTAGTTTTTTCTTTATCTTTTTATTTGTATACCCGGGTCTTCTATATTCTACCAAAATTTTATCCTATATTATAGACCCAGGTCTAATTCATAAGAGAACTGAAATATAGAGGGATCTTTTATATGAAACTTTATGTAGTAAATCGAATGCGTAAGGATACAAATGTTTTAATATATCTAAAAAATTTTAATTTTTTATGTAATACTAATTAAATCACTATTTCTTTTTAGAAATAATATTTGGGAAACAATTTCTGGATTGAAACGAGATCGCTTGGATGTTACTTGATTTTCTGCATTAAAGAATAAGTGCTCACTTGGAATGGAGGTAGCTGAAATAGATAAGTATTTTTTTGCTAACTTACTTAATTTTGGAAAGATCTTTTCTCATTCTTTCCACTATACCAAAGGTTGAGCTCCTGGTGGGGCAATAGGTACTTTATCAGTATCCAAATATTTGTCTAATTCATTATCGTTCAATAGATTATCATCATCCTTATCATCAAATATTGATGCAAAGTAACGATTTGCTGAAGTTATACCAGAAGAAGCAGTGGATTGTATGGGTGTTACATCGATAATAATATTATCAAGTTTTTCACAGCATGCACTAATTGCTTCATTTTTAAAATAATTAGACAAAGCACGCATTTTTTTGAGCCTTGGGTCTAGTAGAGTTGCCAAAAGATCGGTGTTTTTTGGTTCACCCCAATATTTCTAAAGTGAATTGTAAATTGCTTGTTTAACTTGAGCAATTATTGATTGAATGTCGCAAGTTTTTACTACCTGAACCTCTTTACTTTCACTATCGCTACTATCGCTACCTATATTTGATTATAAAAGATAAATATTAATATTTTATAGTAATGTAGTAGCGAATACAAAATAATAATTTATTATATTAATTACAGTATTCTTTATCAAAATCGTCTTCATTTAGAGTTAAATTTGGATCTTTTCCAAATTCAAACTTTAGAGCTTCGATTATAGGATATACAATCAATAATGTAGGATATTTTTTGGCACTGAATTCTTCAGTTGCTATTTCAAATGGTTCAAAAATTTTAACTAATTCTTCAACTAGTTTCTATTCATTTTTATCAGGTAAGCATCGTTTAAGGCTTTGTTCATCTTTTTTATCATCCGGACTTCGTGAAATTTTTAAATTAGCCTCTAATCAGATTATTGCATCTTTTAATTTTAATAACCTTTCCCAAGAATGATATGTAGAATTCCATTGTGTTAGACAATCCTTAATTGGACGAAGTGGTTTAGAAGTAGGATTTATATTTGATAGCTCTGAATCTGTATCTCCATCGTTAATTTCACCAGCTTCTTTCTCCTCAAAATAAAATTCAGTATTTACCAAACTAGGTAAAGGTAAATTATCCCTTTCTATTACTTTCATTTGAGCTTTTTCTAATCTTTCTTGTTGTTTTGGTGAATCGAAAAAATGTACTAATTTTCTTATTTTTTTTGTATATGAGCAGATTTTTTGTAGGGCATAATTAACTGTTAGCTGCAAAGTGTGCATAGCACATGGCAGCCAGGTAACATTATTCTATAATCGAATAGCTTTTGCCATCATCAGGAAATTTTTTTTAGTGCAGTTCTGCACAAAATTGCAAAAAATTAAATAATAAATTAAATGAAAATTTGTGTAAATCTGCGACCCTGCTGGCTATAGCCAGAGAAAATTAAATGCAATTCTGTAAAAAACTTCAAATTTGAAAAATTTTACAGATTTTTTATAAAAATTCTGCAAAAATCTGTATTTTAACAGATTTTTGCAGATTTGCACTAATTTAATTTTCCTGATGATGTTAGCACCATTATCAGTAATGGTGCATGTAATTTTATTTTCTAAATTGAATTCTAAGCATTTTTTTTAAAGAAACTGATATATAGATTCTGCAGTATGTGGGTATGGCATTTTTTCATAGCACAATAATATTCTACGCAATGACCACCTAGTGACAAGTAACTCCAATGTAGCCTTGTTTATTGCGTGAAGTCCATAAGTCAGATGTTATTGTAGCTGTCTCGCAAGTTGATAATATTTCACGCTGAAGAATCTCAATATTTTTCAAATAGCATAATGCTATTTATTTTTTACTACTCTATCAGAAGGTGGCGAAACTTTGGATCAATTTTTGCATCATTCGGCGAAATCCCTTTTTCCTTGATGCCGACAATGGTTCATTATCAAGAAGTATCCATTCAATAACTGCCCTATTTATTTCTTTTAGTTTATCGCCTTTATATAGAATATTAAGTCGAATCAGGACTGATAATGTAGTTTGTCGACCTTTTGGTATTTGTGTTTCGGATTTTAGTTTTTTGCTATCCACAATATTATGCGATGATCTTAGATGA